TCACATCTACAAATGTGGAGAGTGTTCATCAGTGGATAACTTGATACCTGTTGTTCCTGCTCTTCAAAGGTTCTGTATCTCCATGTTAGTTTGAACATTGGTGCTTTAAAGGCTATGCATGCTATTTATTTTTCAACAGCATTGACCTGGAAACTGAGGTAGGCCCTCCCCCCCTGCCATGGTGGCATGGGAAAATTCAGGAAGAGAGTCCAAACCACAACAACTAGCCAAGTAACTTTTGTTTTCTTTTCACTATTTAAGTATGCACATAAAAATACCTGTACATGTTAAATTTTTTTGAGCTGCTCTTTCATCATCCTTAGGAATATCATTTGTCATTGTTGTGTTTATGATGGAGAAGAATAAGTTAATTTTGCTGTGTTTTACTCAAGTCAACACAGGTAAAACATAGAACACTGACAAGTTTAGTAAAATGTCGTTTGAAACATTAAATAACATCTATAGCAGCTTGTTGTATTTTTTCTTTGCTTCAGTTTTAGGATCAGAGCTGAAATTCTGTAGACATATCAGTTACATTTTATCACTATTTTAAAAAAAATGTAACCAGCAAAGAAAAAAAACACAGAATCTTTAGGGTTGGAAGGGACGTCTGGAGATCGCACAGTCCAACCCCACTCCCAAGGTAGGATCACCTAGAGCGGGTTATACAGGAACTCATCCAGAGGGATTTTGAATGTCTCCAGAGAGGGAGACTCTACGACCTCCCTGGGCAGCCTGTTGCAGTGCTCTGCCACCCTCAATGGAAAGGGTTCCTCGTGTTCAGGTAGAACTTATTGTGTTTTAGTTTATGGCCATTGTTCCTCAGTTTGTCACTGGGCACCACTGAAAAGAGTCTAGCACCATCCTCTTGACACATGCTGTTATAGTTACAGATTTTGGAGGAAACTTTAGTGATGAATATTCATACCATTATGTCATCTGGAGCCTATGTTCTCCCATTCTTTTGTTTGGTTGGGCAGACAGGTGCTGGTTAGGCAGGAAAGACCCTTGACCATTTTGGTTTTCCCCTTTTTGTTCTCAAGGGGTGGGGGTGCCAATAGTTTTTGGTGTGTCTTTGCTTTTGTGGGTAAGCCATTTTTTTTTCCCTCTGTATTTTTTGGTAGTTATTGCTATTTCCTTTTAGTAAATAGTTTTTTTTTTTCACTTTCACTTGCATTTTTGGTTTTTTTTCTCTATCAAGGAAGGGGTATAAAAGGGGAGGGGTTTTATCTTATTGGAGTTCCTGCCTTCCAAATATATTGTCTTTAAACCAAGACATCTGTCTTTGAGATATTTATATTCATTAATGAGATCCCCTCTCAGTCTTCTCTGGACTAAACAGGCTCAGCTCCCACCATCTCTCCTCATAAGACAGATGCTCCAGACCCCTAATCATCTTTGTGGCCTCTACTGGACCCTCTCTAGTAGCTCCTTGTCTTTTTTGTACTGTGGAGACCATAATTGAACACAGCACTCCAGATGTGGCCTCACTAGGGCTGAGTAGAGGGGCAGGATCACCTCCCTCAACCTGCTGGACACACTCTTCCTGGTGCACCCCAGGATACCATTGGCCCTCCTGGCTGCAAGGGCACACTGCTGGCTCATAATCAACTTGTGACCTGCCAAGACTTCCAGGTCCTCCTCTGCAGAGCTGCTGTCTAGTAGGTCAGCCCCCAACCTATCCTGGTACTTGGGGTTATTCCTCCCCAGGTGCAATACCCTACACTTGCCCTTGTTGAACCTCATTAGGTTTCTCTCTGCCCAACTCTCCAGCCTACCAAGGTCCCACTGAATGGCAGAACAGTCTTCAGGTGTATCAGCCACTCCCCCGTTTTGTATCATCAGCAAACTTGCTGAGGGTACATTCTATCCCTTCATCCAGGTCACTGAGAAACAAGTTGAATAAGACTGGAAGCAGTATTGATCCCTGGGGAATGCCACTAACTACAGGCCTCCAACTGGATTCTACTCCCCTGATCACAATCCTCTGAGCTCTGCCATTCAGCCAATTCTTGATCCACCTCACTGTCCATTCATCTAACCCACATTTCCCAAGCTTCACAAAAGAGGATGCTATGGTAGACAGTGTCAAAAGCCTTGCTGAAGTCGAGGTAGACAACATCCACTGCTTTCCCCTCGTTGACCCATCATGCCATGTCATCATAGAAGGCTGTCAGATTGGTTAAGCATGATTTCTCCTTGGTGAATCCAGGAACTTCTTTTCTTTTACATGCTTGGTGATGACCTCCAGAATGATCTGTTCCATCACCTTTCCAGGGATAGAGGTGAGGCTGACTGGCCAATAGTTTCCCAGGTCCTCCTTCTTGCCCTTTTTGAAGATGGGAGTAACATTGGACTTCCTTCAGTCATTGGGCAACTCTTCCATTCTCCATGATTTTTCAAAGATGATGGAGAGAGGCAGAGGCAGAGCAACAGCTGCCAACTCCCTCAGCACACGTGGGTGCATGCCATCAGGGCCCACGAACTTATGGGTGTTAAGTCCCTTTAATTGATCTCTAACCCAACGTTCAACAACTAAGGGGAAGTCTTCCTTTCTCTAGCCTTCTTCTCTTACCTCCAAGGTCTGGGATACCTGAGGACCATCTTCAGCAGGAAAGATTGAGGCAAAGAAGGTCTTTCTTTCTTTAGTTTGAGATTTACTAGAAGCTCCCTGCTCATCCACGAAGGTCTTCTGCCCCCTTTGCTTGATTTCTTGATCATGGGGATACACTGGTCTTGAGCTTAGAGGAAGTGATGCTTGAATATTGACCAGCTCTCTTGGACTCCCTACTCTTCTAGAGCCCATTACATGGGATTCCTCTAAGTAGGTCTTTGAAGAGGTTAAAGTTAGCTCTCCGAAAGTTTAGGGTTCTAGTCCTGCTTACTGCTTTTCTTCCTCCATGCAGCATCCTGAGTTCTACCATCTCATGGTCACTTCAGCCAAGGCTGCCCCCAACCTTCACATCTTCAACCAGTCCCTCCTGGTTAGTTAGTAGAAGTCCAGAAGTTAGTACAAATCCAAATGAGAATTCAATTTTTTATTATCTTTTGTCCCCTTAATCTAGGACATTTGCACCAGTTTGGGATGTTTTCAAAACCTCAACAGAAAAACTGGCAAGCTGTCACTTGGACCTCATGCGGAGATTACAAGAGCTAATAAAAGAAGTTCATAAGTATGGAGATGAACAAATCAAAACTTATAAAAAGGTTATTAATTTTTTACTTATGCATGTCCAATGACTTGTTAATGTTAAAATAAAAATGGTTTGTTTTTGACAACTGTGTAATATTTGACAGACTAAAGAAGATGTTTCAGGAACATTAGAAGCAGTGCAAAATATTCAAAGTATCACTCAGGCCTTACAAAAATCAAAGGAAAACTACAATGCAAAGTGTGTTGAACAAGAACGTTTGAAAAAGGAAGGAGCAACACAGAGAGAAGTTGATAAGGTAGTTCTGCGGCATCTTAAATTCATTGTGTTGTCAATCTGTAACATTCACCTTGTATTAGTGAAATGCTCAAAAAGGGCTAAAAGTAGTTGTGGCTATTTCATAATGTGCATGATGCTTTGAATGCCTTGTTATGTTTTGTTTACTCTTCCTTATCTGTTCTAACTGCACTGCAGTTCCAATTCTTTATTTTGTAATTACGTACATCACATAATAATTTTGTTCAGTGGCTTTTACAGAACCTGTATATGTTTCAGCTTTTATTATGTTTTCGGATGCATTTTGTTAAGTAAATATGCAAACATTCAATGCCTTTATTAATGATTTAAGGAATAGGAAGTTTTGTGTTGTCCCCTCAAGTGAGACAAAGCAGCTAATTATAGGAGTATTTGAAGTCTGTTTCATTGAGAAGAAATGCAAGTTAACATTACTTTCAACAATAATTTAAGAAGTTCCAATAACATGGGCCAAAACCCCAAGGGACTGCATTTAATACTTTCCTTGAGTCATGGGGGAGCTTGATACATTTAGAGAATCACAGCATGGTTAAGGTTGGAAGAGACCTTAGAGAAGTTGTGGATTCCCCACCCCTAGAAGTGTTCGAGGTCAGGTTTGATTGGGCTCTGAAGAACCTGGTTTAGTGGAATGCCCATGGCAGGAGGGTTAAAACTAGATGATCTTTAAGGTCCCTTCCAACCCAAACTGTTCTATGATTCTATGACCTCTGGAGGTCATCTTGTCCAACCCCCCTGCTCAGGCAGGATTACCTAGAGCCAGCTGCCCTGGTCTGTGACCAGATGGCTTTTGAAGATCTCCAAGGATGGAGGTTCCATAATCTCCCTGGACAAACTGATCCAGTGCTCAGTCACCCTTACAGTAAAAAAAGTGTTTCCTCATGCTCAGGTGGAACCTCCTGTGTCTCAGTCTGTGCCCATTGCCTCTGGTTCTGTCACTGAGCACCACTGAAAAGAGTCTGGGTCTTTTCTTTGCACCCTCCCTTCAGGTATGACATGCATTGACAAGATGTCCCCAAAGCCTTTTCTTCCTCAGGCTGAACATTGTATCCCAATGCTTCCATGTCCCATTGCCCAACTCTCTCAACATCGTCTTTAACAATCCATTATATCTCTCAATCTTTTCCAGAGTGGGTGGTAAGGGATGTGATACACTAACTCAGTGCCATGTTTCTTTGCCCAGGAGTTTATGAGGTTATTTTAGAAATGTCCCATTGTCTGATTCAATTCCTTCTAGGGCACCATGTCACCACAAAATGTGTCTTTCAAAGCCTAAGATGGTATTTTGAGCAGTGGCCTGCTTTACAGGGTATGTTTCCAACCAACCGGTCATGCGTATGTAGCTCTTGCCTTGGCGTGTTTAGGGCAGTGGTCCAATATAGTCAATTTGCTAGGCCTTGCCATATTGAAAAACAGCCACTGCCCTCTATTCCAGGGAGATTTTACTCACGTGGCTTGTTTGATTGCAGCACGTTTCACATTAATGGGTGATCTGTGTGATGGCCTCCTTGGCCAGGTCCACCCCTTGATCACTAGCCCATCTGTATGTTGCATCTCTTCCTAAATGTCCTTATGTTTCATGGGCCTATTGGGCTATAAATAGCTCACCCTTCCAATCCCAGTCCAAGTCTACCTGGTCTATTCCAATTCTGGCAGCCTTGTCCACCTGCTGTTCTTCAGTGGTGTGACTTTTGTTCATGTGAGCATTGACATGATACACCTTCAGAGTCATGTTTTCCACCCGTGTAGCGATGTCCTGCTACAATGCAGCGCCCAGATGGGTTTACCCCCGTGTTTCCAATTGGTCTTCTTCCATTGCTGTAGCCACCCTCACAGGGCGTTAGCCACCATCCAGAAGTCAGTAAAGAGATACAGTACAGGCCACTTTTCTTGTTCAGCAATCTTTAGGGCTGCTTGGATGGCTTTCATTTGTGCAAACTGGCTTGACTCGCCCTCTCCTTCAGCAGCCTCAATGACCCATCATGTGGGACTCCACTCATCAGCTTTCAACCTTCAATGGTTTCCTACCACATGACAGGATCCATCATTAAATGGAGCATAGCCTCTTTCGTTTTCTGGTAACTCATTATATGGTTGTGCTTCTTGAACATGAGCTACCTCCTCAGGCAATGCCCCAAAATCTCTACCTTCTGCCCAGTCCATGATCCCTTCCAGGATTCCCAGGCTGTTGGGTTTTCCCCATCAAGCTTGCTGCGTTATCAACACTACCCACTTACTCCATGTAGTGCGGGTTGCATGATGTGATTAGGGGATGTTTCCTTTGAACATCCAGTGCAGCACAAGCAGTCATGGTGCCAAGAAGAGACATGCTTCTGTCCCAACAACTTCTGAGGCAGCTCGAACCCCTACGCTGCTAATATCTCCTTCTCAGTTGGAGTTGTTATAAGTTACCAGTGATGGTTTAAAGAAATTGAGAAGACTAATGCAAAATAACAAGCCAATTTATTAGTAAGCGGTAGATGAACAATTACGGCACGCCAGGGGCCGTTAGAACATAAGTTCTCACACAGCTCGCCCGCCCCGACCTCTCAAATTCCCCTTTTGAACCCTCTGGGTTCCCATCTAGACATGCTCAGTACTTAGGTTCTTATTCATACATAGTCCGGGGCATGTGCTCTTTGCACATGCTCAGTTGCAAAGTTTTTCCCATACATGTTCCTGGGCAGTGTTCCTGGCGTCGGTGGGCTGGGGGCTTCTTTGTGGGCCAGGGTTTTTGCGAGGAAGATTTCTCCTCTTCCTCCATGTCCGGTAGATGACCCCAGCTTGGAACATGCGCATTTAAAAGGTATTTTCCTCCCCTTTCAGGCTTATCACATTCCTAAATCACTTTTGACTCTTTGTTTGGGGGGAGCCTCTCAGTGTCTCCAGATTGTCGGCTTGAATGGTGTTATCAGGGTACTATAAATTACAGGGTCAGACTACCCCCCTTTTATTATCAACCTTGGGAACAAACGGCAGTTTGTTAACAGCATTTCACAGTTATATGGGGAATGCATACTGCATACAAAGTTTTACTAAGCTTAAAAAAATCCCTTTAAAATATATATGTAGCCTTAACAGCTATGAGAGAAATACATATAGAAATCGCACATCCATAGCCTGAAGTGTTAGTAAGCTTAACAAAAACAATCTCTCTAAAATATATATAGTTTATCACAGGAGTGTAGTGGTCTTCTGATCCTCAATAACCCCAGTTCCAAAACCCTAATGGTCAACCTCTGGTTTCTCGTAATGTTCTTTGCCAGAGGCTCCAGGTGGAACCATGCTCCTCAGCTGCTGTGTAGAGAATATTTTTGCAAAGCTGGTCCTTTCTCAACAGGCCCAAGAGTTACCACATGAGCTATTCCCTCTTTGATCTGCTCAAAGGCCTATTGTTGCTCAAGGCCTCACTCAAAATGGTTCTTCTTCCAGGTCACTCGATTAGAGGGGGCTCACAAGGTGATTATAACCTGGAATATGCATTCTCCAGAACCCCACAAGGCCTAGGAAAGCTTGTGTTTCCTTCCTGTTGGCTGGTGGAGACATAGTTGCTGTCTTGTTGACCACATCCATAGGGATGTGACAATATCCATACTGCCATTTTATTCCCTAAAACTGGATCTCCTGTGCAGGTTCATTGACCTTGCTTCTTTTTATGGTGAAACCAGCTTTCAGAAGAATCTGAATTATTTTTATTCCTTTTCCAAATACTTCTGCTGCATTGATTCATTGCAGATTTTCTGAGGCATTGCCCTGTTCCAGTGCAATTTGGATTAGTCCATGATAGATGGTAGGGCTGTTTCCACCCCTGGAGCAGTCAATTCCAGATGCATTGGACAACCCTCCATGTGAAAGCAAACTGTGGCCTGCACCATGTTGCCAAAGGGATTGAGAAAAAAACACTGGTGATATCAGTTGTGGCACCACTGGGCTGCCTTTGAATCCAGCTTGTATTTGTGATGGTTCGGACCTGGCTCCCTGCCAAATGCCCGAACTCACAGTAACAACCCTTTCCCCCTCCCTTCTTCCTGCAGGGCAAAGAAAAAAACTATAAAAATTGAAGAACCTGAAACCAATTGAATTATATCAAAATATATATTTTTACATATATTACAGTTATATACAATTAAAATACTACGTACACAACAAAGGGACCCCAAAGACCCTCGAAGGGAAAGGGGAAGAAAGGGTCAAAAGGGGATAAAACAGAACAGACATGCGTAATCAAACTCAAGAACTAGCAAAATAAAGAACTAGCAAAACGAAATCTTATCACGTCCCTCAGAAAAAACAAGATCGGCAGACATGGCCAGCACTCTCCAACCTCCTGCATGGCAGACCAGCGGTCACTGCAGGCCTCAGCCTCTAAATAAGTGAGATCAACACATGGACCCACTGCTCCCAAACTTCTAACTCTATCTTATTTATACTCTGGTTTACGTAAAAATCGTATGGAATACTGGGTACATGGCCACTTGGTTACGAGCTGGTTACCAGGAAGGCCTAGATTAAAACTATCATGTTCTCCACCCCTTCTTCTATACTATTTTTATGTAACACTTGTATCTCACATTCGCCTATATCCTGCACATATATACATATATATATATAGTCCTTTTTTGTTTTTCTGAGCAATTGTCTTGTCATAGAGGATTAACACTAACATCAGTTTGGATCCTTGGCCCTTTGGTCACAATCACAGTTCTGGTTTTAGGGTTGGTTCACTGGTCTGGGCTGTCTTATCATTGGATACCAGCATCAGTTTTGTTCAGGTCTTTCTCATCTGGTGACTGGTTTCCTGCAAAACACAACTCAAAGCACAGAATTAGTTTTTCCCCAAGGTTAAATTTCCTTGAGGCGCACAGTGAATCTCTCCATCCTTCCCCATTACCCACCAGGTATGTCCTGGCCCTTGAGCGAAAACAATCCCACAAATGGGTTTGTTGTGGACCAAGGTAGGAGTAACTCAAACAGCTTTACCTAGGATACCTCTCAGGTGAATCGCTGGAACTTTGTCTCCATCTACAGTGTGCGGGGATTCTGCCTGGGCAGGACCAGCTCGATTGACACAGCCTCTAATTAGCCAGGTGGCCTTGGCTAAGTGCTTATCCCAGTTTTTGAAAGTTCCCCCACCTAGTGCCTTCAGAGTGGTTTTTAACAGTCCGTTACATTGTTCAACCTTCCCAGAGGCTGGTGCATGGTATGGAATGTGATATACGCATTCAATACCATGCTCTCATGCCCAAGTAGCAACTAGATTGTTCTTAAAATGAGTCCCATTGTCTGACTCAATGCGTTCTGGAGTGCCATGTCCCCACAGGACTTGCTTTTCAAGACCCAGAATGGTATTCCGGACCATTGCATGTGGTACCAAATAAGTCTCTAACCATCCAGTGGTCATTTCCACCATGGTAAGCACATAGAGTTTACTTTGGCGGGTCTGTGGCAATGTGATGTAATCAACCTGCCATGCCTCCCCGTATTTATACTTGTGCCAACGTCCACCATACCATAGCAGTTTCAATCTTTTTGCCTGTTTAATAGCAGCACAGGTTTCACAATCGTGGATAACCTGGGAAATAGTGTCCATGGTTAAATACACCCCTAGATCTCGTGCCCATCTATAGGTGGCATCTCGGCCCTGATGGCCTGAAGCATCATGGACCCATCGAGCTAGGAACAATTCTCCCTTTTGCTGCCAGTCTAGGTCTACTTGTGACACCTCACCTTGTGCAGCTCGGTCTGCCTGTCTGTTATTATGTTCCCCATTAGCTCGACCCTTGGGCACATGGGCATCTACATGGCGTACTCTCAGATTCAGCTTCTTAACTCTAGCAGTGATGTCTTGCCATAAATCAGCAGCCCAGATGGGTTTTCCTCTTTGCCTCCAATTCATCTTTTTCCATCATTCTACCCATCCCCATAGGGCATTGGCTATCATCTACTAGTCGGTGTAGAGGTAGAGCCTTGGCCATCCTTCTCTTTCTGCGATGTCCAGGGCCAATTGGACAGCTTTGAGTTCCGCAAACTGACTCGATTAGCCTTCACCTTCAGTGGCTTCCCCCACCCATCGGGTGGGACTCCAAACAGCTGCTTTCCACTTCTGGTTCCTTCCTACAATGCGACAAGAACCATCAGTGAAAAGGACATAATGTGTGTCTTCTTCTGTCAGCTGATTATATGATGGAGTTTCTTCAACTCAACTCACTGGCTCTTCTTCCTCCTCATCTGCCAGACTGAAGTTCCCATCTTCAGGCCAATTAGTTATAATTTCTAAAATTCCAGGGCGATTTGAGATTCCCATTCTGACACGCTGGTAATTAAAGCAATCTACTTGCTCCAAGTGGCATCAGTAGCATGATGCATAGCAGGCACTTTTCCCTTGAACATCCAACTCGGTGCTGGTAGTCAGGGTGCTAGGAAGATCTGTGCTTTGGTGCCAATCACCTCTGAGTCTGCTTGTATGCCTCCGTATGCTGCTAGGATCTCCTTCTCCACAGGGATGTAGTTGGCTTCAGATCCTCTGTAGCTTCAGCTCCAGAAACCAAGTGGTCGCCCTCGTGTCTCACCAGGCACCTTTTACCAGAGGCTCCAGGAGGGACCTTTATCTCCAGCTGCAG